CCCCCTGTTTCCTGCCCACCCAACGCGCTATTCATTCATTCATAAGACGGCATTTGAGTTTCATCTTATATTCATTTAACTTTTGTAATTGCCTTCAGCTCCGAGTAAGAGCATTATACCCGAACACCACTTAAAGTTACCCTGTTATTTGGTAGAACGACGCTAATATCAAAAGATAACTGATTATAAAGGACTTCATGACACAACATACAATCTTTGTTAATGAATGTCATTTGATAGAATAATAATAACGGCGTTTGGGAAAGCTATGCCATGAAATATTAATAATGACTTTATGCAGACTCAACTGTTTTTAAACTAAGTCTTAATGATATTTTTGTCTTTTAAATTCAAATTCAACAAAAAGACTTTATGAGATCAAACTTGAGACTATATTTAACTTTGAACAATTGCACTCGATGAAGGATATCGTACTTTCTACAGTTTGTAAATCATATTTCTAGCCTATTTGGCGGGTCTTTTGTGTGGATGTGCACGTATTTTTGAATAGGCCATTAGAATGTTTACCTTCATAAACAGTTGATCAAACAACTAATTAACTTTTAAATATACTATTAATGAATGATGTTGAATATTGGGACGCAAGGTAGAAAAATTACCATAATTGCTAATCCTTCGGCAAGGATATAACTAGTAGCAACCTTACCTTGGAAATAGTTTTAAACTGAGTCAACATGCAGTACGTTTTTCTTACCTTGGTATTTCTCGTTGCAGTCATTCCTTCAGGTACGTACATACGATCATAGATGATATAATCTTGCTAGTCTATAAGTAAAGATTAAAACAATAAGCTTTTTTAAAAGATATTTTAAAATTAGCAAAAACAGAAAAATAGATGGATGAAAGAGGCATGCAAGAAATGGTGAAGTTTGAAGGTAATAAGTTCAAATCTCGCGAATATGTTTTTTGAAAAGTGTGAATTGATTTTGTGAGTTTGTAGGTAGGCTTCTTAGTGTACTCCCTAACAATTAATAGCAGCAAAGAAAGGAGAGAACTATGCCAACACAATCTCCTGGATACGCTCCAGAGTGCCTTTCGCTTTAGTGAGATTTGCCTTACTCTGTCTCAGGTGTTCTAGAACAGTAATGTTCAAGATCAAATGTACAAGAAACTGACTTAGGACTAGGACTTTTAATACCATTATTATCGTGATGTTTATAGTCTGTGTTTTTTAGGGATTTTTTTAAAGAATATTATCTATTTAGTATCAATATTTGAATTTTTTTACAAATAATCTACRCTCTGATTAGTTCTTAACAAATTATGATCTTGTAAATATATATTTCTTATAATAATAATAATAAATTAATAAATCCCTAACATCAAATGTTTTTCATACAAAATTTCGATTTTTCAAAATTCATTTCTTCGCGAGTTTTGAGCTTATTTTTTTCAAACTTCACAGTTTTACAAATCTTAACATCTAAACCACAGTAATACAAATGAAGATCGATTATTCAGTATAGATTAAACAAAGTTTGGGTCGATGAACAGACTATCTAGATTTATTTCTTGTATAGCATTTTAACTAAAGAGAAAAGAATATAAAGTGTGTTGTGTAAAGGTTAAAACGTTAGGGAGAGGGTTTGCAAATCCGTTTAAAACTGGTTTAAAAACCAACCAAGCCCTATTTTTAATGTTTGATGGAGGGTTTGAATTTCGATTGAAAACCTGTCCCGGGTTTTGAATTCAGCCCCGCTCTCCCCTGTTAGTATCAATGCTGAATTCAAAACACGGGACAGGTTTTCCATCAAAATTCAAACCCTCCATCAAATATTAAAAATAGGGCGTGGTTTTTTTTTAAAGTAAGAGTTAAGGCTTATTGCCGACGTTCGAGGTAATTAAGTATTTTATTTGTCAATTGAGAAGGTTTTCTATCAAATGTTGCTCATTATAAATGCGAAGTCTATATATAGTTATTAGAGAGTTTTAGAGTTTTTTTTCTCCCCGCAAACGGCAAACGTGACCACGTTTTCATAGTTTTCCTTTATTTTACTTTACTATTTAAAAACCTTCTCACCAAGCGCAAATACTCTTTTGTTTTTCTACTACTTGGACTTTTTTGCGATTCTTTTTCAGTCATTTAAAAGAATTTTTTACTGGTCAAATGACGTTTCACGTTTGCCGTGAACGTCAATCTAAAACTCTCTATTAACYGGGTTAATAACTATATATTGACCTCACATTTATAATGAGGGCTATAGCAAAAATAAAGCCTTGTGAATAACAAAGAAAACCGTGTCAATTGAGAAATAAGAGTATATTCGAGCGGCCTATGAATAATCTGTCTGATTTCAGCCCCTCAATGATGACATTTTATAATTTAACTCCAAAACTCCCAGGACAGAATAATAAATTCTGCCAACTCAGATAATTCAACGGCTTGTCGTGAAATTGTTTTTTCCCTGCCACCAGTCAAGAACAAAGAAGGTACTGACTGATTATTTTTGATTGACAGCAGCGAAAAACCAATTCAATGTGCAGCTCGCAAGATGAGATTGTAAATACCGAATTCGCAGATTATCGAAAACCCCAGTAAACACTAGATATTTTAATTTTATAGGTTTTTCGCTCCAATGTTACCATTGCGATAAAGAACAAAACTGTACAGTGACGAACTGCTCAGGTCAGCACGATACTTGTTTCTACACCTTCAGTAAATACGGTGCCAGTATAAAACGAGGATGTGAAAAGAATACCACATGTAACGGCACAGCCAATACTTGTGARGAGAATAATTTGTGTGTGATGAAATGCTGTCAGACTGATCTTTGTAATGAAGATGGCCCAACCATGGCTCCGCCCACCAAAGCCGCCCCAAAACCTACCAGACAACCAGCGGTTATTAACTCTCCTACCACCCCTAACACTGCCTTCCAGCCAATCACATCCAAGACGCTGTTTGCTGTCACCATGGTGACCATTCTTATGAGCGTTTTATAAGATACTCAAAGACCCCTTGCATGTGACGTCAAAGCAGCCCAATGACAAAACAAAAACAAAGAATTGCAATCTCATGAGGATTGGAAACCTATYGTTATGTCCTCCAAATTGAGCTGTATTCAGACGTACTGCAAGGGGTCTATTCATTTTTCAGTAGATATAGAAATGAGTTGCATRATAGGGGGCTACTTTAAGGGACGCTTCATCATTTAGCTGACATTTTATATACACTTATTTCAATAAAGTTAGTCACAAAAAAAAACTAGAAAGCTGAGATCACTGAGGATCATGAGAATTTTTTAAATATCAAACAAGTAAAGCTTTTAATACGATTTGCARCTTGAGGATGCTCAGAAGAGGTGAGACTGTAACTGGTAAAGGATCTAATATCCCTCAATAGTTATTAAAGCGGTTGAAACATGTAAAATGTATCTACCCATAATCCTTGTAGGTCTCAGCTTTGTAGCTTTTCAGGTGACTAACTTTATTGAAATGAGTGTATTTCAAGGAAGGAAAAAAAAAGACATTTTGAAAATTAACACGATAATTAAGGTTTCCTAGAGCGCATGCCATATGTATCCGTGACAAACTTTGTAAGAAATTGCACAAATTTACACAAATTAATAAAGTCTAAGTATATGCTCAGCAGGCCGTAGATCTACAAAACCTTACCTTAATTTGTACTATTTTGTTAGTTAACTTTTTCATGGATATATTTAACAACAATTTATCTTTACGTGTACGTACTTGCTAAGAAGATTATACTTATTTAGATCTTAAAATAAATAATTCTGGCTAAAAATGTTGTAAAACATTGGACGTTTCGGTTTTCTAATTGAACATAATTCCCCTTTTGACAGAAATAATTTAAAAATCCTAGCAATACAAAGGATAAAAGAGCATTATAAGACGTGTCACGCTATGGACGCCATCTTGAACGGAGTTTGTTTAGAACCGAAAATTTTCGTCGCTAGGCAACTTGACGTCATACTTRAGGACTCTATTGAACTAGCTAATAGATGGCTTATACTAAACATATTATAAGCAGTAATGATGAAAAGGTAAATTATACACCGTGAAAAGATGAAAMAACTTACTGACGTTTCGGACGCTAGTCCTTCGTCGGAGTAAANATATTATAAGCAGTGTATTCTGAATAATTAATAAATGAAGCTTGCTTGCACTCAATAAATATGTGAACTAACGTCTTAGTCTTTTCACTGGATGAAAACATAGCATTCCTTGTTCAACAGAAATAAACTTATTACTATCAAAACAAAATGAATCACTGCAAGTGTGAAATAGCTGAAATAGGCAGGAAAGACACGATTGAAAAACGACTGCGCATGCTCCGAATTCGTATGCAAATTAGTCAAAACATAAGTAAATTTGAYTTTCAAACATGCCTGATAAATTGGACTTCACAAAATTCCAAAACTTAGTGTCCATGCTTAAAACTTAAGGCTAATACTTTCATATTGTGTTTGTTAAGACAGTATCTTGGTCTGACAGAAGTATACTCTCGAACTTTTTTGCATACTTGGAGAAAACAAACATTTATTTTCTCGCTCAAACTCTTCAAAATTCTTAGAAAACGTGCTAAAATGCACGCATGCGCAAACGTTTTTCACTAGTGTCGGAAGGAAGATTCGTGGTTCCCCCTCAGACTATTAGTGAACCAATCACCGTTGAAGCAGATTTCCCAATGGAATGATGAATTTCTTCTCACACAAACAACTACACACGCTATCTTTTTTTTAATGTATTACAAGGATTGCGAGGCGATATATCTTATTTTAACAGGACGCGCTAAACAATTAAAATGATTTACAATCAATTTTCCGAGATTGGAATTTAAAATTCTGAAATATTCTGGTTAATTTGAAGAGTTTGTTGGACATAGCAACGGTAACTATGKGGAGTCGAGGAGGTAAGTTCTTTACACATTCCCGTCCCTCCCCTCCCCTACTAATCTAAACTTTTGAAATCAAGAACAACTGACCCCATTACAACTGTCATAAGTACCTGCAGTCACTGAAAATGAGAAGACGGGCTTCCTGTGGTTTTACACAACCAGTCAAATAGCAGGTGGAAGAATAGAAGAATACCGGTTATAAACAGGTAATTCTGGTTTATCCCTATTCATTGCGTTTTTGCAAGATTTATGATTAAACTATTTGTGATCGTATAAATGCAGGCTTAGAAGAAGGTTTTATCCATCGTACGAGCGAAAGCTATTCTTACGAGGAATTAAGGTATATGTACGAGCAATCAAAGTCGTTAAAACAAGCTCAATATCAACGGAACATCGATTTTTCTCCCTCGTTAAAGACACGAACACAAAGGAATGAAAAACCAAGGTAGAATTTGAGGAGTAAAAAAAAAAATATATAGAGAGAAAAATAGATTGCTCATTTATAAAAGTATTCGGCCGAAATCCTGGATCGGTTAACAAGATTTTTACATTCAACCATGTTTTCGACCTGGTCAACTGATGTTCGTTGGACGAAACTACGACAATTTGAGACAAGCGAATCTACCGGACATGTAAGCAACGAAAAAAGAAAAATAGCAGCACATAGTGCAAGTGATGAGAGTGACGATGAATGGTTGGCACAACTTGAGAGAGATTATGCTGCTTCGGCGAGAAAAAGACACCGTAGTCGATGTAGCTTCTATGAACGATGCCTTATTGCTGCTTTGACAGTTGTAATTATCATTACAATAACTCTTGTTTCAATGATGATTGCTAATAACCATCAAGTTAGTATTAAAGTACTCGAACAACCTAAAACAGCTGTCTGTGAATCAAAAAGCTGTATATCAGCCGCTTATAGCATAATGAGCAAAATGGATGAACGAGTAGAGCCTTGCAAGGATTTCTACAAGTATTCATGTGGACAGTGGTTAGAAGATGTTTTGGTTCCTAATGAGCAGACTAAAGTGACATCTTTTCACGAAGCTTCTCAAAAAAACATTATAAGCTTAAAGAAGATTTTTGATGGCCGAGGTCTAAACTTGAACGAAAGCTCAAAGGCTGTCCAAAARGTCAAGGACTATTATACAGCTTGTTTGAAAAATGTCAATCAAAATGGCAGCCAACCAATCACGAGCCTTATTCGGGAGATGGGGTCTTGTCAATTAACCGGAGGAAATTCATGGACAGCGGAGTCATGGAATTTCGAGCAGGCGCTAAGTATGATGCACAAGTTGCAGAGTACACCTTTGTTTTACATGTTTGTAGCGCCTGACGATAAGAATTCCAGTCTGAATATTATACAGGTAAGTTATCTTACATATGATGTAGTTGGGGCTGACTAAAGTTGGACCATGGCTCAGCAAACYCACATACATTTAGCGTATTACGTTTTGCCCAACTTCAAAGAACATAATACTTGAGCTAGTATTCACCCTCATGTATTGTATTAATAGACCTACTCTACTGGTTTCCCATTTCAGACCACGTGTCATTCCCTARAGTATCATTTCTTTGTTTAAAGGTTGCACGTAAAAAGGCACATAAATATRGATACAACTCAAACAAAGAATCTTRTTCTAAAGATAGCTACACGTGGTCTGAATTGGGCGAAGCATTACGCCCTAGTGGATATATAAATATAGATCGACTTTCATAAMTCAGTTTTTTCASAGAGAGAAAATGAAGCCTCTTTACCAGAAACCATTAGTGCTATCTGAGAAAATACTTCACGAAAACTATTTCCAGAAAATTTTGTAGAATTTGACTGCATACCAAAGAAGTTATGAAAGAACGAAAATAGAGAGTTTTGTATGTATTTATCACTGGAAGCCTTGGTGGCCTCGTTTTRGTGCATTTTCAAAACTTCAAATGCTGACACATCTTGTAAAGGATTTATTAATTTAAGTARAAACTCACACGCCTTATCTAAATTAACAAGATCAATGATTTAAAAGGCTTTTCACTCCAAAAACTTTGATTTTTAATTTTTATGCAAATTAGCAGCAGCCAGTTATGAAAGTCGTGTATTTATAAGTTGAGCCCGCTCTTCAGCAGACTCTCCATGAGAATGCATGGAACTGAGACATTTGGGCCGAATAATTCAAGATGGCCGAAGGCAGTCACYGGGAATTTATTTTAACGAGTTATAAAGTGAAGGCATTTAACATTCGATTAAATGTCAAAATGCGCAAAGCATACTTTTTACGGCTCTGCGCACGAAAAGGTATCCAGACGAGGTGTTCATAACAAAGCCGATCAATTTTTTAGGTCCCAACAGATTTGCACTGCTAGGCGTGTGCGAATTTTTGAACAGATAGCCCAGTCCCTTGAGAACGAAACCCCTAAACGTACAACTTTTTGACGGTAAAAAATTCGTCCGGTACCGTGTAAACGAAACCTCAGTTACTAACTCGTCGGTGCCAAATTTTTCGATTCTGTGCATTCTCATKTAGAGACTGCTGGATAGCGTGTTCAACTCTAATATTTGCCATACTTATACCTAATGYCTATCTTACTTTATCTTCTTCTATTCTATCGTTAGATTCAGCAAGCTGGCATTACGATGTCTGACAGAGATTACTACTTCAGAAATCAATCTGACCCAGTGAGTAACCACTTCACCAGGCCCGTTAATATCTAGTTACATTAAGAGAAAATTCTTTTCGTATTCAAGCGGTGAGCGCCAAAAACTATTTTCTTGAAGAAASGCTGTTGTACAAGGCTAAAATCTTGTTATTCAGAAAGTTTAACTTGTTTGGAAGTGGAGATGACCAATGAAAGTGGAATCAAAGTGTTAMCCCAAAGCAAAAATTTGAATCGAAAATGAGGTTTAGGCCTTCATTTGCTTATTTCCCATATACTTTCTATRAAAAAGCATGACAAAGCTACATTCTAACACAAATGCAATAAAACATCTTTGTACAATTGAAAATACCGCTTCAAATAGGCATTTTATCATAGTACATCAGTTTCTAACTGTTTAAAAAGGTTTTGAGTGTTAACCCAAAACAAAAATTGGGATAGTGAAAACTCATACGAAGGTCTAGTTTTTGGCGCTTTTTCCATAATTGCTCGTTATTGAAAACAATTTCATCTTGAGTACACTTAGCTTTGATTAAGGAAGCCTGTACGTTTTTTCATWGGTGGGGGTGGGGGTGGGGGGAAGGAGGGGGGAGGCTCCTCCCTTTTCGCTCAGTGACAAATGTATGACTCTCCTATTAAGATAACAAGAAAAAACAGCTTGCGTCAATAAAAGGTTTGACACTCCACAATAGTTCACTGAAATGTTCACTGATAACCCTCCCAGCAAGAAAGAGAGACCTAACAAACTCTACTTACATATAATGCCAGGTCTGGGAATCGAACTCGGAGCCCCAGAGTTGAAAGGCGAGTGCACTAACGCTCCTCCACCCTTGATTCCCTTRTAAGCCTGTCTATAAGTAGGGCCACCCTATCTTCGTGTAAGTAACTCTTTACAACTAAAATCTAACAGGTGGTCAGTGCATACAAGACGTTGATGATTAAGATTGGTCATTTACTTGGAGGAGATGTAAACACAACTAAAATACAGATGGACGAAGTCTACGAGTTTGAGAAAAGACTAGCAGAGATTTACGAAGCAAAGRAGAAGCTACGTGACTCTGAAGCGATCTATCACAGGATGACAGTGGAAGATTTACAACAGCTCGCGCCAGCGGTAAGTATCGTGCATTGCACAACAAAAAGGACGATTTGCATGGTGACACGCCCTTTGCATCCTTAATTGACTGGTTGCACATGAGAAGACACATGAATATRGATACAACTCAAACAAAGAATCTTATTCTCAAAGAAATGCCTAGCCTGCGTCACATCCGGAATTTTCTTCGTAAATACCGAAGAAAATTCCGAATGTGACGCGGGCTAAGAAATGCCACGTGATCTGGAATTTAAAACCACTGTGCCCAAAGTAAAGTGTTACTGACGATGTTCGTACTGTTTTCTAGATCCCATGGATGGATTATATGAACAACATCTTTAGTATTCCTGTTGGCCACGATGAACCTGTTGTGGTCTATACTCCTACGTTTCTCAAGAACATGTCAGAGTTGGTGATCAGGACAGACAGACGGTACGTAACAGTGGTGTATATAGAGATAGTAATCAGGACAGACATACGGTACGTAACAGTGGTGTATATAGAGACTAGTAATCAGGACAGACAGACGGTACGTAACAGTGGTGTATATAGAGACTCTGAATCAGGACAGACAGACGGTACGTAACAGTGGTGTATATAGAGACTAGCAATCAGGACAGACAGACGGTATCTAACAGTAATATGCTGTATAATGCTTTATAACTGCACACAGTGCAGCAAACAAGTTAATTTCATTTATAACATTAGAGTAGACGAATTGCAACACTGAAAGCACGCGCTCCCAACCAATCAGGTCGCGGTTGTACGAAGGATGAATAGCGCTATCCAACGGATAAATCCTTACCTGGTTGATATAATAAAGTGATGCTGTTGTCCAATAAATTTCTTCACTGGATGAGACCTATTCGTCGGATACATAGCGCTATCCACCCTTAACACTAATTTATAACAGTTATTCATYAAGATAAACATTATCATTATTTTTCCTTTAGAATACTAGCGAACTACATGGTATGGCATCTAATCAAGCCTTTACTTAGCGAACTGTCCAAGCCTTATAAGGACGCCGCTCTAGAGTTTCTAAAAATAGAACAAGGTATAGAGGGCGGGGCACCAGTATGGAAATCATGTGTCACTAAAACCAACTCTGTGCTGGGCTTTGCTACGGGTTACCTTTATATCAAGAAACATGATGGGAAACAAGTAAAAACGAAGGTTAGTCACGTGACACGAAGAGTTATAATAGCGTATTGTATTTCCTCCAGTATGATAAGGCAGATCTTATGTATAAGGTCATTGGTTAGATAACTGAAAGTTTAATTATGTTATCTTCGTAAATAAAGATTTAAATGAGGGAAGAAGACAAAATAATTGTCCACAGTAGAGACTCCTTTTTTCCCCAAAAAAAGGTAGATGGTACTGGGTGCCCCCATCCCCCCCCCCCCAAAGTTTTTTCTTTTCAAATATGGTAATGGCGTCGACGTACCCTCATCCCCCAAAACAGTTTCCAATATTTTTGGTGTAGCTCATCAAAAAAAGTTTCAACCAAGTGATCACTATCATTTTTCTTAGGTTAAGTGTTTAAAAAATATATTTCCAATGAGCCAAACATGTTTGAAGCGATTTCAACGCACCTTGCTTATAAGCTTTCGAATTTTAGGCCTTAAATTTTAAACTTATTTATGTAAAAATTGCCTCGACGTATACACTTAGTCATAAATAAAATCAACCTCTCATTTCACTTATCGTAATACGAAAAAAACAAAAAACAAAATAAAAACAAGCTATAAGATGACCCTTTATATCCGGTGTCAAGAAAAACTGTTAAAAGCCTTTATCTAAAAAGAGTGTTTAAAATTATTAATCTATGAATGTTTGAAATAATGATAATATYTTGATTGTGGACGCGCGCAGGCAGAAGACATGATAACCAACATCAAAGAGGCTTTCATTGAGAATCTTCACGATGTAAAATGGATGGATGAAGAAACAAAACGACTTGCAAAAGAAAAGGTAATTACTGGTKATAAACATGAATTCACTACCATATAATATTCTATATTCATCATGTTCGTTGTGGTTTTGCTGATCCTCAGGTCGATGCAGTGTTCAATATGATAGGTTACCCTGAATGGATTGAGGACCTTAACAAACTAGACCAGTACTATGATAATGTGAGTAAACACCTAGCAAAGCAACTACATTTTTAACATGTCGTGCGAAAAATTCAAAAATTGTTTTATTATTATACATATTGTAGACTGAGAATGAAGATGATATGATGATGTTGATGGTGGTGATGGTGAGGATGATGATGATGATGATGATGGTGGTAATGGTGATGATGATGAAGGTGATGGGTGATCAGCTCTCCTCAAAAATAAAGTCGGTGTGTTTTCATTTTGCACTCAAAACGATAAAAACAACAGAAACCCTTTCGGTCATCATCATAACCAAGCATACTAAGCAGCCGTATTTCTTTACCCTGTGGTTTCTCGTTCGTTTCTTTGGCGGACTACCTGTGGTTTTGTTACTACAGTGACCCCAAGCATCAATTGAGAAAGTAAAAGAGGARCTAGAGCTTTTTTGAATATTTTTGTAATAATTTGAGTTGCATTGCTCACTTAGTTTAAAGATTCAAACGTGTCCTGATCAATAAAAGTCTAGCCTATTCTATTATATTTATATGCTCGACTTATGGTGTCTGATATGTCTACTATTCTTAATATCTCTCTATTCTTCGTTTGCACATGACGTCATAGTCGCCATGTTGGATGAATTTAACRAAAGAATTGTCAATGAATTATTTTGTTGTATCATCCAACATGGCCGCCGTGTCTTTTGTTATTTCACTCCCTTAGGAATAATTGAAAACCAGCAATTCCTTTTATTGAGCCACTAAACYTTAATTTCTCAGTTACATGTCTCATCGAATAATAGCTTCGAGAATTACTTGAACGCAAGACGATTCTACCATCAACAATCAATGGAAAGACGTGGAAAACCCGTCGATAGAAAAGAGTAAGAATACTGAATTTCTTTTGTTATCTTACCTTTCTTTTGTGTTTCTTTGCCTTCATATCAAACTCTTCCCATATATATTTCTCATTCGCAGACCCAGCAACTGTATACACCTAATTAATTGCAAGAAAGTTTTTTTTGTTTTGTTTTTTGAATTTTTTTGTTTGTTTTTGTTATTGTTATTGTTTGTTTCGTTTTTGTTTTGTTTTTGTTTTTCATGTTTATTTTAGCATTCTTATATCTTAGCATTCTTTTTATATTGGTTGCTATCATTTTTATATTTTAATATTCATTTAATTAATATCTATTTTGTATATAGATTTATTGTCACAGTTTATCTGTGATGGGTACCCCCTTTGATGGCCTTGAATAAATGTAGATGTAGATGTAGATTAAACATAAAAACAACAAAACAAATAGGACTGAATAGATTATCTTTTAGTGTAAATATTTCACTACAATGAAGGTATAGACTGAAAGTAAGATATTACCTTATACTAAAATAGTTATTTTCAAAAACAATTTAAACAATTAATTCCTATGTGGAATATTGTTATTTTGGATTCGGCTATATTATGACAATTTTACAGTTAGTTTTATCTATAATTGGTAATTTGATAAGATTACCTTGATTGGAAGTGGAAGTAGATTCTTTTTTGGCCATTCTTCTGCAATTAAAGCTTTAATACGTTGAACATTTGAATGAAATTTTGCAGATACTCAGCGATGAACATTTCAAATTACCCGCCATCTTGCAGAAACCTGGCTTTGACAAAGGAAGCCCAAAAAACACAGGGATCCCGCGCGAACGACAAAAAATGTTGTTCAACGCTTCTTTTTTTATTTGATGCAATATTTCATYTACTTATTTCCACAGATGGCACATGACGCCAAATGAAGTCAATGCTTATTACAATATTCCAAACAACTACATCGGTAAACTTCTCCTTTATATTAATAGTCATAATAAACTTAGTTAAAGATTCCGCTTGTAGCTCGGCAAAAGTGATGTGCTAATCGGGATTTTCCTCCCTTCTCAAAATTCTAATTCGATCTTGGGTCGTTGGATCCTTCTGTTGTGGTTGTCCCGCGGTGTGATACGACAGCCAAGGCTAAGGACAAACTACACTCTTTGACAAAAAATGTGTGATGATACKATGAGGTGTAATGATGTCCAATGATAAAGGATAGTCCGCGTATGAAGCGTGTATGTAAAACGTTCTTGGAACCAAAGATCAACTATTCATGTTACTAAAGAAAGCTTGGTGTTGGTTGGTGATTGTTTAACAAAAGCCTAGCGGACTTAAAACAACAGAGGGAGGGGGGGGGGGGGATGTATATTACTTCAGTGTCATTTTGGTTTATTCATCCTGTGAAGGGGTAACTAATTGGATCGTTTTGTCTACAGCTTTCCCATCAGGTATCCTCCAGCGCCCTTTTTTCGATTCTGACTTCCCACAGTAAGTATTATGGGATACCAGTGTCCCGATAGTCTCCGTCGCAGCATGCAGTGACGTAGCGAGSTCTTGATTATAGGAGGGGCATTGTACCATTTTTCTGCCAAATTCACAGGAATTCCACATCAATTAATTAAATTTTGGTGCCGAAGTCAAAATATTTTTAGGGGGGTTGGGGGAGGGGGGCACTCACTCACTAACTCACTACTGACTAGGATGTTAGCAGGTCCATTTTTAAACGATTACTAATCGTGTTACGTCATTTGCTTACGAACGTCAGACGAAATTACCTTCTCGGATTATGCTAACTAAAAAATGATACTCTAGGGAATGACACATGGTCTGAAATGGAAAAAAAAAACAAACGATGTATAAGCAGGTAGGGTCTAGTCGAAGCCAAAAAGGGTTATTAAACCCTAGTCTATTTAACCAATAGTAACTTTATGATCCTGAATTTTTGTGTTGATAATGTAGAGCTGTCAATTATGGCGCAATAGGAGTCATCATGGGACATGAGTTAACACATGGATTTGATAATAAAGGTAATTGGAGCTGAGCTTAATATTAAACTATTATATATTGCTAATATTTTAATGATTAACAGTCTAATGCAACTATATTCTCATTAGGTCAGAAATTTGACAAGGATGGGAATCTCGCCGCGTGGTGGAAAAACGAGTCATCGGTTTCCTTTCAAAATCTTTCGATGTGTATGGTGAAGCAGTATGGAAACTACACTGTCAACGGCAAACATGTAATTAATAACTATATCCATAGAGTTGTTTTCGTACGGGCTGGTAAAGGATATGGTAAATTCGTACCGTATCTTACTGTAACCGTAGCTATAAGAGCTGTGGATTACTGGAAGACAATGGGAAGCCATTTCAATGTTACGGCATGTCGTACCCTGTACGTGCTGTAAGTCAGTACCGTACGTTTCCCACTCATACGATAACCATTCTCATGGGAAGCTATTTTTATGTTACGGTATGTCGTACCCTGTACGTGCTGCTGTAAGTCAGTACTGTACCGTATGTTTCCCACTCATACGATAACAATTCTCATGGGAAGCCATTTCAATGTTACGGCATGTCGTACCGTGTACGTGCTGTAACTCAGTACGGTACGTTTCTCACTCATACGAAAACCGCTCTATAAACTACCCCTGAATCTATATTTGATTGTCGTTTTGTTTCGTTACTAAAAGAGCTAAGCATATTCAGGTTGATTGATCACTTTGTGTTTYAGGTCGATGGGCTTCAAACACTAGCGGAAAATATTGCAGACAATGGCGGCTTGAGACTCGCTTACAAGGTACGTCTTTACCTTGGACGTAAAATTTTCCCATTTCGGATTCAGWCCTCGTGTCATTCTCTTGAGAATAAGATTCTTTGTTTGAGTTGTATCTATATTCATGTGTCTTCTCAAGTGCAACCGTTAAACAAAGAAATGATACTCTAGGGAATGACACGTGGTCTGAAAAGGTAAATTACGACAAAGCTAAAAGGTCTATTGCATTGTTTCTCTGGTTTGCTTAAAGGCGTATCAACGTTGGAGCGAAAACCATGGCAACGAGAGAAAGCTTCCTGGGCTCAACCTGACAACTGATCAGCTTTTCTTTCTTGGATTTGCGCAGGTTTGTTACAATATACTTTTTTTTTTTAATAAACGTTGTCGCTGACCGGCTTCGCGACCACGCGACTTGACCTAAAAGGAGTATGGGTAGAAATCTCTAAAGTATTTAGCTGCATATATCATTACGGCCACGTCTTCAGAGTTCGCGATTTGTTTATTTTGATAAGCCATGCCTCAAGCATTCAGTGAAGATCATCTGGCGAGCGGTTTGGATAACACAAGTCCTCGGCATGAAAACTGAAGAAGTAGCTATTTGTTTGTTTTCTTGCTAGACGCGTATTCGCGGAGCTGGCCAGCGACAACGTTACGTTTTTTTCAAAAGACTGTATACTTTACGAGGTAGCCCGAGGAAACGGGCTGGATGTGCTGAACATGTCACGATATGTGGTAGCCCGAGTAATACTATATTTTCATGTTGTGTGTGTTTTAGGCTTGGTGTTCTGCTTCAAGAGGCGACAACGTGGAAAATGCGCTTCTAACTGATGTACACAGCCCAGAAAAAACAAGGTACGCGGCAAGCCACAGACAGACCGACAGACAGACAGACAGACAGATTGCACACAGCACAGCAAGCACGTGATTGATTGGGAGCGTGTGTTTTATCAGAGCACACAGCACGCGCGCGCACTTTCATTTGTGCCATTCCTATCTAAAATAACGGTTATTATAACTTATATTTTATAAGATAAATAAAAAACTTGCTTGCTGTTCTGTGTGCAGTTAAAAAAATACTTGGGAATTGGTCACTTCTCTCGCCGAGTGTTCAGCCAGATCCCCCGCGTGCTGATAACTGCACACAGCCCGCGTGTGCGTTTTCTATTTCTTCAACAGAAAGCGCTCGCGCGTGCTGCATGCTCCCATAATGCAGGTGCTCTCAACCTATCATATAGCGAGATTTATAAGCTTTCAATCTTAAGCGAGACGTTCGTTTTGTTCTTCGCAGGGTTCAAGCAGCACTATCCAATTCCCAGGAATTCTCCAAAGCATTTGATTGTCCTTTGAACAGTCCCATGAGCGCGCAACAAAAGTGCGCCGTATGGTGAAGAGGGCTGGTGAAGAGTATATAAAACACGTGATCATCTAAGAGCAAAAGACAGGAGCGAGTTTTGAAATTGCATCTATAACTAGGCAAAAAATGGTCATTAAAGAAAATATCTCAAGATTAGTATTTAAGTCTGGCAAGTTTGAATATGTTTCACTGCTTGTTTATGTGAGGGATAGAATCGCCAAATCCAATAGAAAATCCCACAAAATTTGCTCCTAGGGAAACAGTTTAATCGATAAAATGGTCTGGTTTTCAGATATAATATGTGTTAATATGTACTAAAAAATATTTTGAGCGTTTGCTGGCTATTCTACTTCTCTTCGTGGATTGATACGGGTTTTACAACAATTTTCGGTGAATTTGCGTTGATTTGACCCCGTCCGACGACCATGATCCTTTGCGTTTAAACAATAGATTGTTTTGATGTGACGTCGTAGTGAAATATAGTAATTAAAAATAGACATTTGCAATACGTCGGAATGCAGCTCAATTTGGAGGACATAGCAAAAGGTTTCCAATTTTCAGGAGATCGATTGATTGATTGATTGCTTAATTCTTTTGTTTTGTCCTCCAAATTGAGCTCATTTGATGTCACATGAAAGGCGTCTATAGACCCCTTGCACTGAGTCCCGAGAGGAATTGTTCTGGGTGACAAAACAATGGATTCTTTTGCATAAAAAAGACGGTCTAGATTCGGTTTTGTCCCCAACAACAATTCCTCTAAGAAATCTATGCAGAGCTTTCAAAACTGTCAAAAAAAAAAAAGAAGGAAAATGTAATCATCGTCATCTAGACAACAGATAAGATGAGAAGGATAGAAATTTCAAATAAATTTTTAGCTCATTATCTAGACATTATCAGAAGAGTGTCCTGACTAGATAATCCATGAATGCAGCTTATAATTAACACTTTCTAAGATACAATTTAATAAAAATTATATAGGTTGCTATCAATAGACGTCACTTCCGGTAATAAGCAATTACAGTAAAAACCCGCGTATAAGAACCTAGGTTTTTTCAAGTTAGCCTAAACAGGTTCTTACATAAATGGTATTTAGTGTTAAATTAGGCTAACTAGGTTCTTAATTAGGTTCTTAACTTTTGTTCAAGAAATAAAGTAGTATTTTTGAATACTGTATGTCCAATTACAGTATTGTTGGAGGCTTAGGTAATCAAAGGTTCAGCTCAGTTTCATTTTAAGTTGGATTTTTTTATTCAAAGAGGACATGTTCTTTACAGTAACCATGTACAGTTATAGTGTTTATAGCATTGTTGTGTACAGACTGTGCTGTAAATATATTTTTGAAAAGATTGATTCTAATTTTTTTTTTAAATAAGAACCTGTTTTAGGATTTTAGCCTAAAATGGTTCTTATGTGAAGGGTGCTTAAAAATGAAATCTAACAGGTTCTTAAATTTTAGGTTCTTATACGCGGGTTTTTACTGTAAATAAATAAAAATATCAAGAATAAGTAGTATAATATATATAATTCTACTCCGACGAAGGACTAGCGTCCGAAACGTCAGTAAGTTTTTTCATCTTTTCACGGTGTATAATTTACCTTTTTATCATTACTGTTTCATTAGAAACACCAACGCAGCCGTCACACTAGTTTTTAGCTAGTTATATCTTTTTATCTCAGTATAATATATGGATAATAAACCATACAGTAATATACTCAACCTATGTTAATCTGTATTTCAATATTTTATCTAATGCAATATTAAGGTTTGAACTGTCATGAACAAAGTCTGATTATGTGAAATTGTATATCGTAAAATAATAATAATAATAGTTTTTGTGGTTAGCTTACTTAACGGCTTTGGAAACATATAATCGGACCTTCTAGTCGGTAAAAATCCTAGGCTAGTGTGACGGCACTATATTTCAAATGCCGCGACAGCGCGAGTTCGTTGAGTTAACGCAAAGGAATGAGAACGGAGAGTAACTTTACAAAACAATTTATTGAATCGCA